GGGGTCTCCTGCCTCGATTTCCCCTCTGGAGGGAGGGGGAGGGGCTGGGGACACCTCCAGGGGTTGGGGACACCTTGGGGCTGGTGACACCTCGGGGCACTGGTGGCATCTTGGGGCTGGTGGCACCTCCAGGCCTTGGTGTCACTTTGGGGTTGGGGACACCTTGGGGGCACTGGTGACACCTCGGGGCACTGGTGGCATCTTGGAACTCGTGACACCTCTGGGCAGTGGTGGCACCTCCAGACCTTGGTGGCATCTTGGGGCTGGTAGCACCTCCAGGCCTTGGGGTTGGGGACACCTGCAGATGTTGGTGACACCTTGGAGCTGGTGACACTTTGGGGCACTGGTGGCATCTCGGGGCTGGTGGCATCTCCAGGCCTTGGTGGCACTTCCAGGCACCGGTGTCACTTTGGGGCTGGCGGCACCTGCAGATGTTGGTGGCACCTCGGGGCACTGGTGGCACCTCGGGGTACTGGTGGCATCTTGGGGCACTGGTGGCATTTCCAGGCCTTGGTGGCACTTCCAGGCTGTGGTGGCATCTTGGGGCTGGTGGCACTTCCAGGCACTGGTGGCACCTCCAAGGACTGGTGTCACCTCTGAGGTGGTGCCACTTCCAGGTGTTGGTGGCACCTCCAAGGACTGGTGTCACCTCAGGGGACTTGTGGCACCTCCAGGGCTGGTGGCACCTCCGGTGTTGGTGGCAACTTGAAGTGTTGGTGACGCCTCCAGGGCCTGGTGGCAGTTCCAGGCGTTGGTGGCACCTCTGGGGCTGGTGGCACCTCTGGGGCTGGTGACACCCCCAGGCTAGTAGCACTTCCAGGCTGGTGGCACTTCCAGGAGTTGGTGACACCTCGGGGGACTTGTGGCACCTCCAGACTGGTGACACCTCCAGGTATCGGTGTTACCTTGGGGCTGGTGGAACCTCCAGTCCTTGGTGACAGCTCCAGACTTGGTGACATCTCCAGCTGTCGATGTCACCCCCAGTTCCTGCTGTCACCTTCATCCCTCAGTGCCACCCTGGTGTCACCTTCAGTTGCTGGTGCCAACTCCATCCATCAGTGTCCCCTCCATCCGTCAGTGCCACCTCCAGCCCTTACTGCCACCCCAGGACTGGTGTCACCTCCATCTGTCAGTGCCACCTCCATCTACCAGTGTCACTTCCATCCATCAGTGTCACGTCCATCCCCCTTGGTGCCACCTCCGCGGGTTGGTGCCACCTCCATCCCTCAGTGCCGCCCCAGGGCTGGTGACACCTCCATCCCTCAGTGCCACCTCCATCAATCAGTGTGACCTCCATCCCTCAGTGCCACCCCAGGGCTGGTGACACTTCCATCCCTTGGTACCCCCTCCATCCATAAGTGCCCCCTCCATCTGTCAGTGCTGCCCCAGGGCTGGTGTCACCTCCATCCCTTGGTGCCACCGTCATCCCTCAGTGCCCCCTCCATCCCTCAGTGCCACCTCCATCCATTAGTGCCACCTCCCTCCCTCGGTGTCACCTCCCTCCCTCGGTGTCACCTCCATCCCTTGGTGTCACCTCCATCCCTTGGTGCCGCCTCCCTCCCCGGGTGCCCCCTCCTTGCCCGGTTCCCCCCGTCAGACGTTGCTGATGCGGACGCTGAGCGGGGCCCCCTCCCCTTCCCGCTCGGCCTCGCGCAGCGACTCCTCCAGCTTCACCTTCTCGGGGTCCCCGAACCTTGGCGGGGCCTCGCGGTGGCACCGCTGGGGCGGCACCGCCGCCTTCACCACGCGGTCGAAGAGGCTGAAGTCGGCCACGTACTTGCCGCTGGCCGAGAGCGAGATGGCCGGCGTGAACTCGTAGCCCCAGAGGATCTCCTCGGGCAGGTAGGACGTGCGCACCTGGCACGTGGCGCTGGTGGACTCCACGGTGCCGCTGAGGATCACCACGAGCTCGAAGTCCCCGTCGCCGGCGCGCAGGGCCGCGTCCCGCAGCGGGCTGGCCTCGTCCACCACGTGGTAGAAGGTGAGCGGCAGGATGAGGAAGGGGCTCTCTGACGACGTGTCCACCTGGAAGTCCACGTTGAGCTGGTTGAGCCGCACGCTCTCGCCCTCCTTGGTGAGGTGGGTCTGCAGCAGCTTGCCCGTGACCTGGCAGCCGATCAGGAGGCTCTTCCTCATGTTGGCCACGCGGATCATCAGGCAGGTCTTGCCGTCGTGCTGGGCCACCACGGCGTTCTGGCTGAACTTGATGGTCTCGGCGCGCTTCTTGGGCCGCGCGATCTTGGCCAGGAAGGTGCCGGTGATGAAGATCTCGAGGATGGTGGTGAGCACGAGCTGGGCGATGAGCAGCACGATGGCCAGCGGGCACTCCTCGCTGATGTAGCGGAACCCGTAGCCGATGGTGGTCTGAGACTCCAGCGAGAACAGGAAGGCCCCGGTCAGGGTGTGGACCTGCAGGGGGGCAAGGATAGGGTGGTTGGGGGGGGG